CCCTTCCTTGGAAATCGGGTCACCTTTGTGCAACCCAATCATTTACTGGACATGCGATGATTCCATGATCAAACTTTAGGTAATGATGCATGTCTCCCAATTGAATTAAATGGGCTGTATATGTTCTATCACTACTTCTGAGTAAATATGCATAGGCTTGCCTGGCAAACCTCCATCCAGATACACCTCTTAATACTATACAATGCAGTACTATACAAGTAACCCCACCGGGTCCAGTCCTAGGGAGGCAGGAGTCTCATTTTACAAACTCCAGAAAGTCCTCCATTTTGGAGAGCGCCGTCCTCTCCTGGAAAGTGTCCTTTGTTTAATGAGGTATCCAGCCCAAGCCCATTTTAAAATCCAGGAATGGTGAGAAGCCATAGCAAGCAAAGACCTGGATGCGACTCATCTGCAACTGATGCTCAGAGGCAGCCTGGGCTGGCACCCAGCTCACCTGGCCTGCCTTCTTCATGCCCGTGAGACACATTCCATTTCTACTTAAATCCAAGCTATTGTTTCTGAATAAATACGCAAGCAGATGCTATGAAAATTTCCATCTTCTCTCCTCTTCTTTGCTAAAGCCATGCTTCTTCATGGCATAAGTAGCCATGCCAGCTTATGCCCAGGCGAGAAGGTGGAGCAGTCCTCACTCTCTCAGGACAACCTGTGCAAGACATGTGGAGATGGCAAGTCCAACTCGGGTCCCTGGTTCTGCCTTCAGAAGGTTCCCGGGCATGGCACAAGGGGCACTTTCCCCTGCCACAGTGTTCTGGGCAAGGGAACAGTTAAGCTGAACGAGTAGGAATGCCTGACCTTGCCTGCCCTTGGCACCAGCCCTGGATGAGGGAAAGGCCTGGATGCATGAGGATGCACCATTCAGACCTATTGTCCATGCAAGAGCTGAAAAGAAGCATAGCTTCCCCCTTGCAAACACAGGGGCTGTGGCCTCAGGGCAAGGCGGAACCTCAGGGCCAGAGGCCAAATCCAGTCCTGGAGTCCCAGTATCCAGCACTCTGGGTTCCAAGAATGTGCAGCCCCAACCCCTGACTCCAGCTGGCCTTTGTTCAGTCTTCCACTCCATTCTAAAAAGATTCAAGTGCTTCTCCAAAAGCTGATGTACTGGCAGCTTCATTCTAAGCAAAGGAGCCCGTGTGGAGTTATGGCTGGACCGGGACCTTGGAAGAGTTCAGACTTTGGAACTCTGAAGGTTCAAGTTCTAGCCTCCACTCAGTCCTGAAGGAGGACTTTGGGCCAGCCCCTGACTCTCAGCCTGACCTACCTCTCAGGGTTGTTGTCCAGATAAACAGGATTGTGTTAGCCACCCTGGAGGAAGACAGGTGTAATTATCTTTATAATTACAAATATGCTGGCATATGGAACATGGCCCCTCTGGCCTTTGGACCTGCCTGCCACTGGAATGCAGCTCCTAAATGCTTCTCCAGGGTGGAATTTGGCCCTTGTGTTGCCAGGGGTTCATAATAAAGTACCCCAGGAACCAATTCTGCATCAGCACAGCAATGCAATGTACAGAAGACTCTTGGATCAAACAACCCTACGGAAGAGGGTGCTTTAGCAGCCTGAGTTGGAGCCAGAGAGGAAAGGACTCTTATCTGGTACCTTCCAGATAAAGGAAACGGACTGGATGCCAGCACACACTCCAGAGGTCTGCCTGGAGAGGGAGACGTCAAAGGAAAGTATTAATGCCCGGAAGAAGCTTCTATTCATTCCTTGTCAATATTTCAGAGTTGCATATTAGCTATAAAAGCAAGAACCAGCATCAACCCCAAGTCCAAGTGAAGCCCTTCTCTATTTTCCACATTTATCTATGCCATCAAAAGCACTTCTTTTAAAGAACGAATTCATTTACGAACTGACTATCAACCTTCTGTTTGAGGGAAGCCTCCTCAGTCAGGCTGCCAGATTTTCCCTTTTAATAACTCCATGCAGTGATCTGAGTTTCAGCAACTGACAGACACTTCCTAGATAAGTCCTTCTTTTCCCCCAGAGAACTCTGCAAAGCTATTTAATGCCTGGGACTTGATGCAAGCAGCTCATCATTTAAACCAGAACTTCCAATTTACTTTGCAGCGCCTTTGATGAATTAAGAATATAAGCGCTGCCATGTAAGGTCAAACCAATGCAAGTTCCTTCAAGCTCAGCATTCTGTCAGCTGATGTCTTGGAGATGAAAATGCAGGTATTTTGAGTTCTCTGATTCACTCTAAGGCTGCAGTTCTATATACACTTGCCTGAGAGTAATTCTTAATTCAGTAACTGGGTTCAGACAATAACTCAGGGGCCGAGTGTGAATGGTGTGTGGGCTGTCCTGGAACCATGGGTTATTGAAGTAGGACTGGGGCGAATCCTTTTGAAATCCACCCCACCAGAATTCGTTACATGCTCTGCCTGGTCCTGCAAAGGAAGCCAAGCCAAGAGGAACTCTGCAAACCCCCAAGCTGTGCAACTGGCAACCTTCCCCATCAGGAGCAGCAGCAGGATGTGAAAGAGGGGAGCTGTGAGCAGTTTGCATTCACAGCAGCCAATGTTCTTCCTGCTGCCAAGCAGACCAGAGACCAGGAAGAAAATGGATGAAGAAAAAAAGCATTAAAATACAAAGCAGAGAGCTGGAACATGTGACGTTGACTAGCCAGGCATGAGGGTGTTGGCCCTGAGTGACTGTTGATCTGGGATACACATTCACTACCAATGGATTGTGTAGTTTTTTACTATGTTGCCTGCACACTTTTCACATATCATCCTTTTCAAGAAGGCATCTTGTGCTTGACCCTGAATTTGCAAAGTTGATCACACCTTGTTTGGAAAAGTCTCCATTGTCTCAAGCTGTTTTTCAAAAGTGATTCTGTCATTTAAGAATCCCTTGGACCACAAAGAGATCAAACCGGTCAGTCCTAGAGGAGATCAACCCTGACTGCTCTTTAGAAGGCCAAATACTGAAGATGGAACTCAAATACTTTGGCCACCTAATGAGAAGGAAGCACTCCCTGGGGAAGAGCCTAATGCTGGGAACAATTGATGGCAAAAGAAGGAGGGGAGGGCAGAGAATGATGTGGCTGGATGGAGTCACTGGGGCAGTGGGTGTGAGCTTGGGTGGACTCCAAGGGATGGTGGGGGACAGGAGAGCCTGGAGGAGTGTGGTTTATGGGGTCATGATGGGTCAGGTACGATTTTGTAACTAAATAAAAAACAAGAATAAAATTGGTTGTTCTTTCTTTATTGTTTAGGTTTTCCATTATTATAAACTGATATATAACCAATGTGATGTGCAAAACACATCCTTGCAAACCACAATAAATGCCTGCATTGTATATATCTTTAAAAGTTTTTTTAATGAACAAATTTTAAGGCAAAGCATTTCACTACAAACCATCAACTTCAGTGACACCTTTTTTATTTTCAAGATGGTTCTTTAAAAATGTATAAACTGGATGCACAATCACTGGCTGTTTACTTTCATTTGGAGATTTTATTATGTTCACTCTTGCCTGTGTTCACTTATTTCAGCTAGAAATTCTCCACTTTGCCCCTAGAATGCAACATCATTTTGGTTTCTAAAATGCAAAGTGAGAATGGAGCAGAGAAATGCTTGCATATTTAATGCTTCCCAGCCTTAATAAATCAAGAGGAGACAACCAAAGCTCTATGCAAACAGAATTTCCCAAAGAGTTGGAGTGGGGGAAAGTATAGTCTTGGAATAAATTATAACTTTTCCCTGTGGATCATCAAGCCCCATTTAAGTGCTAGGTGCACTCAGTATGGGCCACCATTTAAGTGGTACACTGCCTTTAAGTCAACATGTAGGTTTTCCAAATAGGGCAAACCACCATCCAGAAATTGACATAAACAAGGTATTGGAGGATATCCAGAATGCTCTGTAAACTTTTGAAACTCTGCCTGTATCGATCAGACAACTTGCAAGAATTTCAGGGTGGGCAAAATAAATAGAGCTACAGCAGGCAACAATTTGAACAATAGACATGTGTGTTTTTAGTGCGTTGTCCGGTCATCCCACCCACTGCAGACCTGCTACATGTTCAAAGGTAGCTGGTGATCTAACAATCAGCTTTCCTGGAGCTAAGAAGCACAGAACAGGAGGACAAGTGGTCCAATCTTTTGCCTGATGTAGAAGGTCCAGAGAGAGAGGATCCCCGATGGTGGCTGTCCAAGCTCTCTTGAAGGCTACCAGCAAGGAAGACTGTTCACCCCCCATACCCTTGGCTGTATTGTCCTGAGCCTGTTTCCCACCACATGATCTGGACTTCCCAATCATCAGCCGTGCAAGCTGAGATTGCTGAAAGGTGAACTCCAAAACTTCTGGAGTCCACCAGGTTGGGAAAGACTGATCAAGACATTTATCCTAACGTTCGGTTGAAAGCTCACCTCCTGTAACACAAACTGATTGGATCTGGTCCTATCAGAGAAGACTTCTTCTCTGTGACAACCATCCAAAGATCTGAATTACCCCCTGTAATAAGAGTACTTTGCTTGGCAGGGAGAAAGATCCTAACCTTCACCCCCACTGGTGTGCTAGTTTTTGTGTGCAGAGGGTTTTGTTTTCGAAATGTGAGAGAACATTCAACAATGCACTCTCTGGTGTTCTTATAATGAATACACTTTTATTTTTCCTTGATGCTAGGTCTATGCATTGCATCAAGATACAACCAATCAAATTAGAAGTGGTTTTGCAAAAAGTGGCAGGGCAGGAAAGGGCTTGGAATGGATTCATTAAGCAGCTGGATGATGAATGATGAAACAGCCAAGTTGCATTTCTGCTGGGGGGAAAATCAGTGAAAAGAAATGAATGATGAAAAATCAAAAAATATCCTTGCTATCAGAAGCACCCAAACTTCTTTAAGGTTAATTATTGTTGTTGTATTCAAACATTCAGAAAGGTTCAAATTCTGTTGTTGTTTCTTGGTTTTTATAAAGTAACTGGGGTTTTAAGAAAATAATGCTCACCCTTCCCCTTCTTTGGTTTTTCAGGACGAGATTATTTAAAGGATAAGATCTGTCAGCAGTTCAGCACCATGGGAAAAGAGAAATTCCATGCCCTGTATGTATTTTGAAAGCATATCATGCTGACTCAGCAGCCCTTTCCTTGTGCTTAGCCTTGCTAGCATTCGGGACTCTAGCCAAACCACGGACAGCTCCACACCCTACTCTCAACCGTTCCAGAGTAGGGCTGCCCCCTTTTGGTTTCTGTAGAACTGACTGGCCTGTGAGGATGGGGAATGTGTGTGGGGACACAGCAGAATCCTGAAGCTTAGAGGGAGAACTTGATTCAGGGAGTCAGAAGGTAGCCATACCAAAAATTGTGCTTATGAATGGAGTCACCAGAACCTGGAGGTATGGGCTTTTTAGGCCCAGAATTGTGCTGACAAAACCAATTAATATAGGTACAATGGTATATTGTACACAGCTTTAATAGGATCTTGTACACCATTCTGAGAGTGCTATGCTAATTGAACAGTATATAAATGCCAAAATTAGAATAGAATAGAATAGAATAGAATAGAATAGAATAGAATAGAAGTTTGTTCTTCCTTTGGCCCAGTTCTGATTTTTGTTAATTTGCAAAATAGCTGGGAGGTGGTGTTCATTTAGAGCATTGTTCATATTTTAGCAATGATTTAAAAAGATGGACGTGGACAAAGGCAAAGTAATTTTTCTTCCTTCACAGAACATTGGTCTTGAACAGCAAAAAATATTGCCAGGCAACCTTCGAGGAAGTTAACAGTATTGTGAGTGAGATTGTTGCCCTTGCAGAAAAATGTTGTGTCGAAGGAGCCAGTGAGGATTGCTATCTTACCGAGGTACGTGATGGCGAGACTTCTTCCTTGTGGAGGTGTTCCACTCTGAGATCATTGTGGAGTTCTGGTCCGGATTCTTTTCTAAGGTGCGCAAGGAACTGTACCTGCAGGGAATGTTCCTGTCCAGAGTTCCAGCCAGCCAGCCATGCCCTCTTCCAAATACTCCATTCCGTTCCCCTCCCACCTGGCTTTATATATCTTCTTCCCCAACAATTAGCTTTCCAAGGCCGCAGAATATGGGTCAGTCTTTATTGAGCTGTTGTGCGGGGAGACCCTCTTCTTAGGGCTTTTTCTCCCTTTAAAAAATCATATTCTTGCAAAAGTTAAACCTCCAGAATACCTACTCACACTTCCTTTGTGGCCATGTAAATAATGCCATTTTCCTCACATAAAGACTACAGTGTGCAACAAGATCATGTTTCTTAGGAGCCTCTTTCCACAAGGTCCCTCTTTGTTTTTACCCACTCACGCTTCTTTCCCCTGAAGCTCCTCTTCAGTTTGCTTTCATTTTAAACACTTTCTTAATGCCCCATCTATTCACGATCATTTCCTGCTTTAGCATGTTCATTCACTTTTTGCTTCCTCCTCTTTCAGCCTCTCCTCTCTTTTTCTTTCCTTCATCCATTCAGCTCTAGAGATATAAATATATCACTTTTTTCTCATTAGCATCTGCCTCAGTTTCACCCTTCTCCCCCAAGTTCTCCAGTTTTCCTGCCAGTTCATGTCTTAATCATCAGTCTGTATCATTTATTTATTGGTCACAAGCCAAGTCAGGTCAGTACACCCTTAAAACTGCCAAGATAACCGTTGTCCTCATTTTATTCAGTAATCAGGGGCAAGTGAAACACTCTTTTCATCCAGTACGTAATCAGTTTTGAAACGTGCCGTTGAAATGGCTACTGGCTTCACGGCCAAAATAGTCATAGTGTGGAAATGGCGATAGGAATGCTATAAAAATAATAATAAAATAACCAGCAGATGTGTGGAGAAAGATCAGGACCACACAACCGTGGTTTTAATCCCAAGGTCAGAGCCAGCTCCAGGAATTCTTGGCTATCTGTCAGAACCACAAAACGCCTGGGATGTTGCGCCTGGGATGGTCAGGTGTCCTACTTTACAGGGGTCAGTACTGTGCTTTGGAAAGCTGGTGGGGGATATTTCTTGACTTGAGGAGGACTTCTAGACCAAGTTTGGTTCAAACCCAAAGCTCACCTGGATGGGAGAAGTTGCCAATCAGCAGCTAGTGCCTGGACTGGCGCACGGGTCACCTGGTCCTTCTTCCCCACTCTGGTGAGGTGTGTTGCATGTATACTTACCATTTCTGAACATCCCCTAAAGCATATCAATGCATCAAATGTGATACAAAGAGACATCCTCTTCTGCCCTCTTTTCTGACCCACCCGCATGGAAGGCTAGATCCGTCTTGCTCTGATCAGGCTGCGTTCTTATGTGACAGAGAGAGTACAATTTGACTACAAACAAAAAGGTAACTTGTACCTCCTTCTCTCCCGCTCTCTCTTTCTCCACCCAGTCTTCAGCTCTCTCCGCCAAATCCTGCGCTGAAAATTCTCCTTTTCCTAAGCTTCCGGGGACGGCTGCTTGCTGCGCCCAAGAAGGCCTGGCTCGAAAGCTGTGCTTGGCTGCCCTGAAGCACCCGCCCAAGGAGTTCATGACATACGTGGAGCCACAAGGGGATGAAGTGTGTGAGGCCTTCAAAAAGGACCCCAAGGAATTCACAGACAGGCAAGTCACAGGAAGCTTGAGATAGTGTTGTTTCTCGGAGTGCAAGCTGCCAAGCAACATTTTCTAAAGATCCGGTACATTTAACAGACTATTCCTTTCAATTCTACGAAAATAAGAACATAAGGAGCGGCTTGCTGGATTAAACCAAAGGCTTATCTAGTGCCACATCCTCTTTGCACACTAGCTAATCAGATGCCCATGGGAAGCCCACAAACAGGACAGCCATGTACTAGAATATGAACTGCTCCTTCTCAGCCAGACCAAAATATGAGGAAGCCCAGTATGATTTCCATCCACACCCTCTCTTCACCAGGACACGGCAGTGGACATAAACACTGAGCTGGACCAAAGGTCCATCCTATCCTATATACCAGAGGCAAGCAGAAGAAAGATCTCCAGAACATTGGAACTTCAACTTCCAGCCTGGACAGTGGCCAGGAATTCTGGAAACTTCAGGTCAAAATATCTGGAGATCTACTATCTGTCCACCCGTTATGTGTTGTTGTTGTTATTGTTTTTAGTCGCGAAGTCATGTCCAACCCACCGCAACCCCATGGACAACACTCCTCCAGGCCTTCCTGTCCTCCACCATCCCGTGGAGTCCACTTAAGCTCACGCCGACTGCTTCAGTGACTCCATCCAGCCACCTCATCCTCTGCCGTCCCCTTCTTCTTTTGCCATCTATTGTTCCCAGCATTAGGCTCTTCTCCAGAGAGTCCTTCCTTCTTATTAGGTGGCCAAAGTATTTGAGTTTCATCTTCAGTCTCTGGCCTTCTAAAGAGCAGTCAGGGTTGATCTCCTCTAGGACTGACCAGTTTGATCGCCTTGGACCACAAGGCGATCAAACTGGTC